GCGCACCCTGTCACCGCCACGCTTAATGCCACAATCAGTTCTCACAAATTACTTGAGCCAAACTCGCGGCAACGCACGCGTAGGCTCGCCCAAAGGAGAGACAAGGGGAGCGGCAGTAAAGACTCCGCGCCCATGCCGGCACACCCCTCGCACGTCTCGCACTCCACAGGCAGCTGCACCGATGGCCACAGCGGGCGTGCTCGCATGGTAACCTTGCGCCCACGTTGTCGCACTCCTTGCGCGATCTGTATACCCCACAAAGAGCTACACCGATGACCTCACTGGGCGTGCTCGCGTAGCCTCCTCGCGCCCATTGCGGCACAACCCTCGCGCGTTTCGCGCTTCCCACGGGGCTCCGCCCATGGCCTGAGCGGCGTGCCCACGCGGCGTCCCCACACCCGTATCGGCACACCCCTCACGCGATCCTGCCCCCCCCCCCAGGGACCTCAACTCCTGGTCCCGAAGGGCGCGCTCGCATGGCATCCCTGTGCCCGTGTCGGCACACCACTCAGACGTGCTGTGCCCCACAGGGACTCGGAGGGCCACCGAGGTCCCAGGGGGCGTGCTCGCATGGCCCCCCCGCGCCAGATTCGGCACAGCATTCACATGTTTCGTGTCCCCAAGAGAACCCCACATATGGCTCCAGTGAGCGTGCTCGCATGGCGTCTACGCGCCCATTTGGGTTGGTTTTGCCAGGCTGGTTGTCGCGCCGCTTGCCTCTTTATCAGAGAAATTCGCCAGATGAGTTGGTTCCGGAGTGGGAGTAGCAAAAACTGTGCTACTTACATGGAAGGAAATCGCAATCCACCTTTGGCACCGCTCGGGGGCGGGCGAGCTAACTCTCGCCCGCCACGTCGTTCGGCTGGCGCTCTGCTGAACGTTCCTATCCAGCAGTCGCTGGCTGCCTGACGACAGTCAGAGGAGGCACTCGCTTTGGAGAGGTAGAGAAAAGAGAGGTGTGTATATATATATGTATATATACATATATCTCTCTATATCTATATATATATATATATATACATATATATATATGTGAGCTTAGGCTGCTACCCGTGCCAAGATCAACTTTTTCTTCGGCATGCTCCGCTGCTTCGATGCAAATCAAGAGAACGAGCGGCAGGCGGTGACAGGGCAGCACGATGGCGCTGACCTGAACGGACTGAGCGAGCGGCATTCAAGACTCTGAGCCCCCTGTGGGGCGAAGTGACGCCCAGGAAGGTGGAAGATGGGGACGGCAGGCGGGTCCTGGAAAAAACTTGAGCATAAGTACACCATACGGCACTGAACGCAGCAAGAGATCATTAATGTGCAAGCACAACGCATGAGCTTAGGCTGCTACCCGTGCCAAGATAAACTTGTTCTTCGGCATGCTCCGCTGCTTCGAAGCAAATCAAGAGAACGAGCGGCAGGCGGTGACAGGGCAGCACGATGGCGCTGACCTGAACGGACTGAGCGAGCGGCATTCAAGACTCTGAGCCCCTACCCACTGCCATCCAGCGTCTTGGCCTTGGCCACCACCAGCGCTGCAAGATCTTTGCAGAGCGCCGCAGGGTAAGGGCACGCCCTCGAAGTCCAGAACACACCGAGCGGGTCTTTACCCTTCAGTGTTATGTGTGCCTTACCTGTTGCACTGCACCTTTTTTGACAGCCTGTACACAGGCGGAGGGAAGGCTGCGCTGGCAGCCAATTGAAAAGCAAAAAGGTAGTCGCCATTTTCCAGGGGACCTAATACTGGCAATAATCAACAGAAGCCCACTCGGCGTGAGCGTCGCGGGCCATGTCCAGCAGCTTTGGGACAAGCCAGAGGCGAGACGAGCGAGGGCTCTCGAGAGAGAAGGGGACTCCCGCCTCGACGGCAGCAGCCAGCAGGCGCAGAACATTAGCGAGCAGACGATTGGCGATCCTCACCTTCTCAGCGTCCGCTGCCGCCAGCAGAGGGAGGCCGTGCAAATTCGCATCGTCCCTGAGTGGCGGCGGACCCCGTCCATCATTCTTCATTGCCCGGCTCCACGTTTTGCAGTCCAGGCCGACATGCGCCCCCGCGAACTCCTTCCGTGAGATCCTCAATACCAGACTGTCGATGAGGGATTCATCAAGAAGGTCGGCTCGCGGGTCGTCAGCGTAGTCCCAGCCTTCCGAAGCCCAGCCGGCGGCGTGGACGGCCTTGGCCAGGGCGGCGGAGCCGCACATGAGCTCGACGAACGGCCTGGCACGGGCGCGGGCTGCGGCACCTTGGCAGAAGGTGCGGGGCGGCGCATGCTGGGCGCAGGCGCCGCCTGCAGCCGCGCCGACGGCGTGGCCGTCCGCGGCCTCTGGGGCCGCGCCAGGAGCCTCTCGAGCTCGGCGTGCAGCTTCGCGGGCGCCGCCTCGGCCCTGCGGCGGACGTCGACTGGGGGCGCTGCAAGTTCCTGCTGCACCAGCGCGTGGGCCTCGTAGCGTTTCATCGTGTAGTCGGAGGCCCACCGCCCGCGCCTCTTGATCTCGTCCATGGATCGATACCTCTTGAGGCGATCGTGCGACGGGCCACCGTGGCGGAGCTGGTAGGGCACGCACCTGGTGGGCACCTCGGCCAGCTCCAGCGACTTGCGCCACGGGACGCCCAGCTGCGCGGCGGTGAGACGGAACAGCGGCGCCTGCGGGTCCCCCGACCTCGCGCGCGCCAGCAGCGGGCCCAGCCAGGGCACCTCGACCGAATCGAGGAGCAAGCTCTCGTCCGACAAGCTGGTCTTGCTGCACTCGCCCCTCGCGCTGGGGTGCAGGTTGAAGCCGTAGTCCGTGCACGAGCCCGAGGGGAGGAAGAGGTCCTGCTCGCGCAGGCCGACGGCCTCGGAGGGCCTGAGGTACACCCAGAACATCGTCACCACCATGAGCGCCGCGCGCGGGGACCCCAGCTGCGTGGCCATCACCAGCGCGACCAGCGCGACCACCTGCCAGGGCATGGGCGGGCGCGTCTGGCCTGGGTCCAGGCGCCTCCAGCCCTGGAGGGCCCGACAGAAACGCGGCAGGCGGAGCGACCCCTTTCGGGAAAAGTCGGGGTGCGCCGAGATGTACGCGGCATATGTTTTCAGGACGGCGGCTCTCTCGAGCCCGATGCTCCAGGCGTAGTCGGCGTAGTTCATCAGCGCCAAGTCGACCTGAGCCGCGGTGTGCAGCGGCAGCTCGAAGAGGTCCACGAACGTCTGGAAGTCGTCGAGGGCGTCCTTGTAGTATGCCTGGGTCTCGGGCGCCACCGCGTTCCACTCCAGGAAGCCCCTCTCGTCCTCCCCCACCATCGTGAACGGCCCAGAGGCCCGCAGACGGTGAGCGATTCTCTCCTCCTTCGTCGCCCCAACAAACGGCCTGCCCTTCAAAAAGCTCTTCTGCACGATCTTGGGGCTGGCGGCTGGGCGCTTGACGGACACCGCGCGGGGCAGGCGAGACACCTCCCGACTTGGCATCCCAGCGCCTCGACCCCTCATCGGAGGGGCTGAGCTCCGAAGGTATCCACCGATGCTCGAACCGCGACGCAGTGGCGACGGAGTAGGCAGCCTCTCTGCGGCAGCACAGCAGAAGGGGATAGGAGGAGCATCGCCCACGTCCGAGCGCGAGCACGGTGCCGAGGTTGTCCCCGAAACGTAGATGACGGAGACCAAAGGAGGCCTGGGCCCTTGTGATATGACGAGATGTCATGTTCGAGGCCCTCCCCTCGATAATAGTGATGGGCTCCTTGACGTGAACCCTGGCCGAGACCACCTGCTTCCACTGGGGGCCCTGCAGAGCCTGTACGGGCACCTCTGTGAACTGCGGGTTGAGCTCCCAGGGGTCCTTGACGAGGTCCACGCTGGTGCTCTTGGGGGCCTTGGCGGTCTCGATGTCGCTGAAGACGTCGAACGGCCCCTCCGAGGCCTCGTGGCCTCCAGAACGGACTCCCAGAGCAGAGCGGCGTGCCGAGATAGCCGAAGGCATGCGATATCTCCATCTCTCACTGACTGACCCGATACGTTTGACAAGATCTGATGACAATGTTGCCTGGCACGTCGCCATACCCGTCAAGCAAGCGTCGTAAGCGAAGACCGTCGGCGACCACTGAAGCCGAAGGTTAGCAGACATCAGCGGCAGCAGGCGACGGCACTGCTCGACTTCGCGGGCAGCTGAGGGCCAGAGACGGGCTCGCACGTGATAGCAATCTCTGACGAAATCATACAAACTCCTGAGGATCGAGAGCAGCTCCCTCTTCAGCATCAAATGATCAATGAGTGAGAGGGTTCTAACGTGAGGGTTTGGGAGGGGAAAGGTGATGGCTACTCTGCCTCCTCCTGGCTCCTGGGGCTGCCACCCAGGAGAGCTTCTCATAGATTTCTGAAGGCCGATGTTTGAATCACCGACTCTGTAGGTCCAATGTTTTTTTTTCCTGGAGGGTTGTTTGGTTTACTCTGAAGCTTTCGATGTCCTGACGTTTTGCTTTCTGTCCAGGAACTCTGTCAACCAAACCTTGACCTGAATCAAGTGTTTTCGGCCCTGGCCTCAAGAAAACTAAAGTCAAGCGCCGACAAATCAGAGCACGAAACTTGTTTTGTCGTTTTTCACTCTCGAACTCTGCTTCGCTAGGGAGACGATCCTAGTCCTGAGCGACGTGCCGTCGAGTCGTTGCTGCGGCAGACCCGCAAGCCACTGCGCGACTCGAAAGGGAGGGCATTGGTAAGCCAGTGCCAGAGGCAAAGAGGAGGAGCGGTAGGACAGGAAGGAGGAAATAAACATGCGACCTTGGGAAAACGGTCACAGCACTGTCGTGTCTCAGGCGTCTCCGATTTGTCGTCAGCAATTCCGATGTACTTACTAAAGAACTAAAGAGAGATGCGTCTGCGAGGCGCCGCTGACCAAACTCGAGTGACGCGTGTGCTTCTTCCTTCCCTTATTCCTTCCTGTCCTCCTGTGGATCCTCCTCCCTTCCTCCCTCCTTCCTCAATCCTCCCCCTCCCTCCCTTAGCCTTGAGTTGCGCGCCTGGGAGCCCTGCTGCCCACTATTGGGCTGCAAAGCCAGAGGCGGCCTCATGCGCCTTGGCCTTCTTCTTGATGTCCATCTCGTCGCTGTCCACCGCGCTGCGGTGGCACGGGATGCCGTACACATGCACGCCATCGCCAGTGACGTCCTTCAGGTACGGCCTTGTGTAGTCGAAAATGTGGGCCTCGCCATTCACGTGGATCGCGATCGGCATCGGCTCGTAGTGAACTTCGTGCGTGTCGAAGGGGTCGTACTTGACTCCCTGAGCCGACTTCTTCGCTTTCTTTTTCGGCGGCTCCTGCACAACTGCGTCCTTGTCCTTGTCTTTGTCCACGGGCTGCGCGTACGTGATGAGCCACGCTGGGCAGAAGTCGCTGCGCTTGACATTCTGAAACTGAGCTCCGTCGAGCCAGAGGTCTGGTCCGTCTCCGCTTGCAAGCTTCAGCTGCATGACCGAGTGCCTCGGCATGTGCTGGGCAACGCTGCCGTCCACGACCTTCCCCCAGTACGGGAGCTTGCACTCGGTGGCGTTGGGAACGTTCATGCGAATGATATCCACTGAGATCTTCTTCGTGCCCTTCGCTGTCCCCTCCTCTTTGATGTCGAGTGCCAGGTTGCAGCCTGGCTGGCAAGGGCCCTCGGTCAACAGCACCTCCGTAATCTTCGCTGACACCGCGGCGGAGATCACCTTCTTCATGAGCTCCGAGGTCCATGCGTTCCCAGCGGACTCTCGCTCCTTGACCTCAGTGAACCAATTTCGCAAAAGGGGCTTCTCCGCAGCCTGCTTGTCAGACTCGTCGCTCTCACCGTTCTGGATGGCCTTCTTATCCTTCTTCTTCTCCGACTTGGGCTCCTTCAGCGCGGGCTTAGTCTGCAGCGCAACTCGGTTCAATATCATCTGCGTCGGAGCCGATTGAACCGCTTCGGAGGCTAACTCCGCCGCGTGCTCCGCGTCCATCGCTTCCATGATCTCTTTCAACAGCTTGTTCTTCTCGTTCGTGAAGACGTCCACCTGGGCCGATACCTTGAGCTCCTTCTTGATGTTGTTCTTGATGAAGTGCTTCATCTGCGCTGCCGTCGCTCCCTGCAGAACACACAAGTCACGGGCCTTCTTCACTTTGTAGCCGAGCCCATCGGCCGAGATTGCCACGTCGTGGCAACTGAAGGACTCCTCAACCCACGCCGCGACCCACGTCTCCCAGTGCACGGGCTTGCTGATGCCCGCCTCAGACTTACCCCGCAAGCCAAGGTACTCTATGAACTCCCTGGTGATGCTGTTCAGCTTCTCGGGCGCCTTGAAGTCGAAAGGCTGGGCCACGCTCGACTGGAGATCACCCGTCGCCTCCAGCAGTGATTGGTGCACGAGCTGCGGTAAGAACTTGGCTTGCTTCTGCTGGTCGGCACCCCCACGCACAGTGCACCACTGCAAACCGAGGACGCTGCACATGTGCATCCACAGCTGCACCCTCAGCAGGTCGAGGTAGACGGAGCCGTTGGACAAGTTGTTGTCCAGCTTGAGTAGCTTGTTCCAGTCGGTGAGCGCGATGTCGTCTAGCTTGTCCTGCGCCTTTGCCTTGACGATGAAGTCTACGACGATGTCCCACTCAGCTGGAATCACCACGCGCACCTCCTCAATGGCAGCCTGGGTAATAGCGAGCGCCGCCTCCTTCAAGGACTCGAAGACCGTCTGCTTCTGCACAATCTCAGCCACCCTGCCCATCGCGCTGCTCAAAGCCTTCGCAGCGCACATGCGACCCATGATGGGGAGCATGCTGTTGTTCTCGACGAAGTGGCACTGTATCGCTGCAATCTGCGAGATGTACTCCTCTGCCTTCTCGTCCGCGGTAGCCCTTGTGATCGCCAAGTCCTCGATTGCAGTCGTCGCTAAGGCAGCCTGCTCTTCCTCAGTCACAGGTTGTTCACCATCAAGGAAGTCTGGATCAGACGGCCTCGGCGCCAAGTTCGCGTTCTTGTACAGCGCGGCTTTGGCAATCTTGCGAGGAGCCGAGAACCCGTTCAGCTTGGATTTGCCCTTCCCCTTCAGAACTTCCACTGATTCAATCAGGCAGCCACGGATAGCGAGGTCCTTGAAAGACGCGATGTCGCAGTCCCTCGTCGAGTCGACCCTCATCATGTACTCGATTGTCTCGCGAAGGTGGTGCAGGAACTCCACGTCGTTCTCTTCGTCGATGACGAGGTCTGCTTTCGGGGCTTTATTCTTGATTATCTCGGCTTTCTTCTGGCTCTTCTTCAGCTCCTTCGCATCCTTCTTGCTACCCGCTGCCTCGCCTTCTGGCTGTACAACTGACTGCGCCTCTTGAGCAGCCTGCAGGAGCATCTCGTTGCGCTTCGCCTTGTCCGCCTTGAGCTGCTTCCAGACAGCCGACTCCTTCATAGACTCCATCAAAGTGTCGATCGCATCCTCCTTGAAGACGTCGATGGGCGCCAGTCCTTCGGAATGCAGGAAGCCCTTGCCGATGTTGCCTGCTGTAGGGGTCCTTGGGAAGTACTGCATGATGACGTCCACGATGAACTGAGGATGGTTGTAGCGCAACTTCCGAAGGACAGAGGCGAGGACGATGAAGGTCCGCTCATGCTTCGACGCCAAAGGTTGAGTAAACGCAATCTCGGCAAGGGCGCGCCTCTTGAACTCCGCCCACACAGTGGTGGTACCGTCGGTGAACACCTTCTTGCTCTCCTTGTAGAACGTGTTGCACAGCTCGTAGTTGCGATACGTCCTCCAATCCCTCGACAAGGTCTTGATGAACTCGAACTTGTACTCCTCGAGCTTCGCCTGTCCACCCAAAGCTGGAGCAGACCAATTGTTCGCGTTCTTCTTCTTCGTCCATGCCATCTCAATGCTGTCTGTGCTTTCCAAGATCTCCACGAACGTCTTCGGCGTCTGCTGATCGTTGACGAGGTTGCCAACGTTGATGAGAAACCTGATGGCGTCCTTCGGCATGCGAATGTTGAACTCCTTGCACGCCTTCACACCGTTCATGACGGAAAGCTGTACTGTGCGATTCTTCTTCTGGCCGTCCTTGGCGAAAGCTCGCCTTGCCCCCTCAAGCAGGGTGCCCCAGTGGAACAGCAAGTACTGCGTTCCTGGACGAACTTCGCGCTTCATGTGCTCTGGGCACTTCATGTACCATGGCCCCTTGCGAATATCTATGATGCCGATCTTAGTGACGCTCTCCTCCCGTTGCGAGACGCTGTCCTCGTCGCCGCGTCCCTCTGCGTTAAGGGGGTGGCGGTCGGTAGTCCACAAGCCCGTCTCGTCCACGAGCGAGAGGCGGCAGTCCGCGTTCTCGCAGTAGAGCTGCTCGCACATGCCGAGGAGCTCCAGGGGCGACCTCGTCCCTCCGCAGCGATCCGCGAAGTCTGCGTACTTGCCGCTGTCGTCGTACTTGTCGCCCTCGATCTCGGCGATGGTGCGCTCGGCCACGCGCGCGGCCACAGCAGCGGCGGCAGCGCTAGATTGCTGGCTCCCGTCAGCAGAAGAAGAGGCGCCCAGGCTCGACATTGCGAAAGCAACTCAAGGTGTTATCTCCCTCTCTCTCGGTCTAGTGGTGGGCGGTGTACACTTGCACTGAGCGCAAACTAAACCGTGAGCACAAATAGCTACGGACGTGAGGCGTTTCACGTAGGGTCACCCGTAGGGAAGGGAGGGCAGCGCCGCCGATTTCAGCCCGGTGCTTCTGGAGGCCTCGGTCCCTGCAGATTGCCACGGGATAGCCATTCGGGCTCCAGGGTTGCCACGGGGTAGCCATCGGAGCCTCAGGATTGCCACGGGGTAGCCAAATGGGCCTCAGTATTGCCACGGGATGGCCATCTGCCTCCCCTTCCGCCCCCCATGGATTGCCACGGGGTAGCCATCTGGAGTCTGGGATTGCCACGGGATAGCCATCTGGCCCCCTGGATTGCCACGGGGTAGCCATCTGAGGCCTGGGATTGCCACGGGATAGCCATCTGCCCTCCTTCCCCCCCCCCTGGATTGCCACGGGAAAGCCATTTGGGTCTCGGGATTGCCACGGGATAGCCATCTGCCCCTTGGATTGCCACGGGGTAGCCATCTGGAGCCTCTGGAGTGCCATGGGGTAGCCATATGCCCTCCTCCCCTCCTTGGATTGCCACGGGGTAGCCATCTGGACTCAGGATTGCCACGGGATAGCCATCTGGAGCCTCTGGATTGCCACGGAGTAGCCATCTGAGCCGTGGATTGCCACGGGGTGGCCATCTGGGGCCTCAGGCTTGCCACGGGGTAGCCATCTGGGTCTCAGGATTGCCACGGGATAGCCATCTGGAGCCTCTGGATTGCCATGGGGTAGCCATCTGAGCCGTGGATTGCCACGGGGTGGCCATCTGGGGCCTCAGGCTTGCCACGGGATAGCCATCTGGGGCCTCAGGCTTGCCACGGGGTAGCCATCTGAGGCCTCAGGCTTGCCACGGGATAGCCATCTAGGGCCTCTGGATTGCCAAGGGGTGGCCATCTGGTGCCTCAGGCTGGCCACGGGATAGCCATCTGGGCCTCAGGATTGCCACGGGATAGCCATCTGGGCCTCAGGATGGCCACGGGATAGCCATCTGGGCTCCTGGATGGCCACGGGATAGCCATCTGGGCCTCAGGATGGCCACGGGATAGCCATCGGGAGATCAGGCATGCCACGGGATAGCCATCTGGACCAGACGCTTGCTATGAGATAGCCGACTAAACTCCGACCGAAAGCAAGGATGTATCAAGCGCGTGGTCTCGACCACATCGTGATTGCAATCTGTGGGACGCCCACCGCGGCAGAAAAAGCTGATGCGAACCACGATGATGAGACGATGTTGGTGATGTTGATGATGCCAGTTCAGTCTCAAGCGCTCGTTAGTCTGGCGAACGCCGCCAGGCAATCTCGATCCCGAGAAACAAATTAACCACCAGCTTTGGTACACATGCCACATACGAACCCTTCGTCAGTGAGATTGAATACGTTGTCGATTGCCAGTGCACAATCTATATGCCAATACTTCAAGCACCGCTTGCATCTGACATCATCGGCACACTTGTCCTTACATGGAGAGGCGGCCCTACGTTCATCAGCAAGCGTGCGCACAACACAGCGCATGCCGTCGCTTTCTGTGCGACTGAAAGGCCCAGAATGCAATTGAGCAAGCTCCCACTGCTGCACGATCAGACACCACTCGGGCATATCCGCTCTCCCTGCGCCTGTGGCTTTAGCCATTGCGACGGGCACATCAACAATGATTGCCCTCACCTCAGAGCAGTTCCGCAACTTGACAACAGGCGTAACATGGGCAACGACGAACACAACCCGATTGTTGATGTCTAGCCTGACTCGTCTCCCCTCCATCTCGTTCGCACCAGCCCCCCAATAAACAAAACGGACCTCAACCTCATCACGCTCTTCAGCAAATGCCATCAATGATATCGTCTTGTCGACGATCGCCTTCCCATCCGAGTGCAACCTGGCGTTCTCACGAGCAACTCCGACCTGATCGCGGCCGCGCCCGCAAGCAGCCACTATCGCATCCAACAGCCCATCTGGAAGCGGGGGGGCATCAGCGGGCGGTGGCAGTGGAAGCTCATCATGGACATCAGGCTCGGGGACAGGCTCTGGTATAGCACCATCATCTCCGACGTCATCGTCAGCGATGTCAGCGCCGCCAGACACGCCATCGCCAGCATCTTCGTCAGCTTCGGCCGCGGCCTCGGCCTCCTCGATGATGCGAGCGAGGTCTGCGCCGAGCTCAAGATCACTGCCACCATCGCCACCGTCGCGGCCAGCAGGATCGGCAGGATCGGCAGCGGCGACGTCAGCAGGCGCAGGCGCCGCGCAGGCCGCCTTCGGCGGCCGAACGACCTCCAGTGTAAAGGTGGCGACAGGTACGCCATGTACTTCGCAAGTGTCTGTTGACGTCCAGGTAGCTGCATACTGGCGCAGCTCAACCTGCGAAGGCGATGCTTTTTGTTGAAATAAACTGGCGTCGGACCACGGGAGCGCCAAAGGATTTCGGACCACGGAAGGGCCCAAGAGGGCCTTAAGGTGCGAAGGTGCGTTTGTTGTTACTTGGCTGCTCTGCCGCAGGCTTCGACGGCTTCGACGAAAAAAAACTCGTTACCCTTCTCCTCCTCATCCTCCTGAAGTCCTCCCCATCCCTCCCACCTCCTCCCTCCTCCTGCTCTTCCTCCTCCCCCTCTCATCTTCCCTCTCCTCCTCCCCCTCCCCTCGCCGTTCTACTCCTCATCTCCTCATCCTTCTCATCCCCCTTGTAGCCTTGGTAGCCCTCGTGGGCGGATCCTCGCCGAGGGCGGGAACCAGGATGACCTTCAGGAGATCGTGAAACCAGCGCACGCTGAACGGCCTGTGTATCTTGCTCAGCCACACGCCGCCGTCTATCACCACGGGCGGGCTCATCTCGAATGCGATGCTGTACCGCTTGAAGGTCCAAGGGGAGAGCAAGAACCACTGGCCATCTATGGAGTAGATCTTCTTGGGGCCGATATCCACCCCGTGGTGCCCAGTTGCGTTCAAAGACAACGCCTTGCAAAACTTATCCAGCAATGAGAATTGGTGAGCGCATGCGCGTGCTCCGCCAGCGGGCAAGTCCACGCCACAAGAATAAACAGTCGGGGTGAACCTGCAAGACCACTCCACTGATTGCATGAACTGGACGACCTGATCGTGGACCTCACAGCAGTCTTCCGCAGACATCTTGATACCGTATTTGACCTTCATGCGGTTGTTGGCTGCTGGGATCTGGAGGCCTGGTGCCCTTTTCGCCATGACTTGCAGGGAAGACGCGCGACCTTCAATGTCTTGTGTGTCCACGGGGAGTTCTCGTCGCCATACCAGAAGATACGCAAACATCCTGGGTGCACACTGTCCGCTGTCTCTCATATATTCGATATCTCTGAGGAAGTTCACCTTCAACTTCGCAGCGAAGTCCGATGTGTTCGACTGTAAGCAGCACCCTGGCAAATCGAGTAACATTGTTGCAAGTGCTTTACGTTTGTCGTCGGGTTCATCATGAGGACGCGATACAACGTGCAGTAGGCATAACGGGAATCGGTCAAATGTTGATACAAATCTCATCCACCAAGCCGCCGCACACGTCAGCACACACGTCAGTACCAACAGAAGGCATTGGCCACGAAGTGCTGTGTTCCCGTCAGGCACAAGTGAGAACGCGCTGCCCCATAGCTTCGGATTGTTCATGGATGTTGGGTCTAGCATATCACTTATCGTCTGGTATGTTTCACCGCATTCAACCGTGACGAAGTTCGACAGAGGGGTTGGTCCAAGGTAAGTGTTCTCGTTGACGCATTTCTGGTTGAAGAGCTTGATCTGTTTCTGGGCCCAGTACAGGAAACGCGTGATCGGAGCCTTCGACACCTTTGATACGATGAGCATGATTTTGAAGACCGTTGAGTTCAACAAAGATAGCGTGTTGGATCTGTACAGCGATTGTTGTTCTTGAAATTGTTCTGCTTCCTCGTCACCAACGCCTGCCTTGTGTTTTTTCTTTGGTGGTTTGGCTAGGATGTGGTTGAAAAGCTTTGGCAGGACAGACATCTCATCGATGAGCAGCTCTTCCACCTGATCGATGGACCCCCACCGACCCCTGAGCACTCGACCAGGCATTTTTTTGCAGCGGGCAGTTTCTTCAGCACTTTCGCCGTACAGATCCACGATGGCATCTTGCAACTTTCTCATGATCCCAGTGCTCCTCCACATATTTGAAATCGTTGCAACAGCACTGAAGTATTTCGTGCATAACGGTTCAGCATCAACCCAGACCCACGAATCCAACACTGCCAGGATCGATTTCACGCACAAGTGCGAGGCGTGCAGATTGCACCATACCACACTGAACGTTAACCGATTTGATTTCGAAGTGATCCCTGCAATGATGTTCATCACGCCTTGGTTGTCAGGACCCTGGTCGAAGCCGAAGTTAAACATGGTGAGTTGTGATTCGTCGCCAGCGTTCAGGTGCTGCTCTAGATCTGCGGTGCCACACGACCGAAACCCAGACTTAATGAATTCGTAAAGCTCCTGCGGGCGCAAAAAAAAACTCCTTCACTCCTTCGTCCTCCTGCTCTCCTTCCCTACTCCTTCCTACTTCCCGAGTCCCTCCTGCATCCTACCCCTTCTCCTACCTTCTCCTGCTCCGTCTCCTACTCTCCCCTTCCCTCTGCCACTGCTCCTACGATCCTGTTCAATCCTCCCTCCTATCTCTCCTTTCCTCCCTCCTCCACCTCTCCGCGTTTGCATCAATGCCGCTGTCCTCACCGTCGCCACGCCGAGAGAATTGGAGGTCGCAATCGGTCGCCGTGACTGCCGGCCTGAGCGCCTGAGAAAGGCGAGCGCCAGACGAGACTTGGACCTCAGCAGATGCGACCTGAGCGGGTCCCAAAGCACAAGATTGGAGAGATGATATGAATACTTTACTTTTTTCGAGAGCTTCTGAATGTGTCGCATCCCCTTTGAACAAGAAAGCTTGCATCTTGTGAAC